TTTGAAACAAATCCTTTTAGTTTCACTCAGATTTGTTTCAAAGCGGTTTTACTCTATAAACCTTTACACAGTTTTTATATATTTTAAAATATACTTTATGGGGAAAGGCAAACACAGCAGTAGCAGCAGCAGCAGCTGACTGTAGCACTTCTGATGTGGTTTATAAAAGACTTATCAGGAGCAACACGGCATTGGAAGCATGTCGACTGATGAATTTTAAATATTAACTTAACCTTCTTTCTCTCTCAATAAAATAATAGTTTTTATTCCAGCAGAATTCACCTGAGACAACATTTATCAGACCTCGTAATTCATACTGATGACAGAAAATGTCAAATTTTTTGAAGCTCGCATTTTTAAAGAAAGTTGTCACAGTGCCACACCCAAACAAATGACTGATTACTTTTCAGTTTTGAACTCAAGAAGAAAAAGTTCTGGATTTTGTCCATCACAGCTAACCAATCTGTTTCTAATCAGCTACATACATTCCGTATCTGAGTGAAGACTGAAGAATCTGTCAGTTCTCCCCAGAAAACCAGAGCCAATGTCTTATGGCCCCAATTCTCCGTTTTAAAGTTTCGTCCGTTTGTGTCAGATTCTCTGATAAGATTTTTCTGAGTAAGGGACCACAATATTCATAGAGGTACCAAGTATTTGTTCAACATCACTGCACACAAATCCCCATTATTTGGTAAGATGTACACATTTAACCAATTACATTTGTAATATAATTTAATGTAAAATAAAAAACACTCCTTACAATTTTATAGACATTTTTAATATAAATAGATAAAATACTCTAAGACAGCATGAGAAAAATAGCAGGATTGTTCAAAGCTTCTTAAAGAGAGACATCAGTAAACTTAATTCATGCTGGATTTTCCAGTTTGACTCATTAGCGCCACTAGTGTTCAGACATGGAACTGCACCCACCATCAGGCAAAGGGTTGAGCGACAGGACAGGAACTTCAAGGGGCCAATCAGATTTCAGCTGTAGCCAATGCCCATGTGGCCCAGCCCGTGTAAAAATTCTTAAAATTTAAATATTTTTGAATGAAATGATTTATAAAAACAGGGACGACAAATAAAATCCTCAAACCCACAAATTTAATGTTGAGTTCTCATTTTTAATTTTGATTTGCGCAACACAAACACATAGTCATCTTACAACATAATTTTCACCTTTACTTTTGTCCAGTTTTATATGTAAATATGGTTTATATGGTTTATAAAGTACATTTTAATTCACATTTATGTTAATTGTTTTCAAAGGCTCACTTGTGATATTCAGCTCTGAAAATTTTGTTTTTAAATAAATCAAAAAGATTTTAAAATAGTTTCAGTTTTACTTTGAGAATCTTTCAAATTTCCTTTAGCTTGTTGCTCTGTAACCCCAGCTTTTAGTAATAATTCAGTTCAGGACAATTTAAGTTTAGTCAAATTTGATGATAATTTCTCAGGGGTGTAAATCAGCAGGTTTATCATGATATGATGATATATTGATTTGTTTCTAAGATGATATGATGTTGATTGATATCACAAATCTGTCAGGATATGACTTTGATTCAATTTAATTCACAAATCTGCGCTCGATTTATCGATCCACATTGGGCATACGATGATGATATGGATTGATGTTTTCATTTTGCTTTGATGTAATTGAGTTATTAATTGTTTAATTGATAATTGATTTTTAACACATTGTGTTTTTATTTATTTATTTATTTGTAGCAGGAACACAAGAACAAAATAACTGAAATTCATCAAAGTAGCTTTTTCAGTCTTTGATCGTGGAGCTGTGTCTCTGACAGGGAGTTTTACGTCAGTGACAGATGGATTAAATGATCAGAGTATTAATCTGTCAACGGTATGATTTTAAAGCAGGATGTCAGAAATTTGTGTCGTACTGTACGCTGCTCAATGGCACGTGGGAAACCAAGATAAAAGGAGAACATCTGAGCCTGACGGCTTGTTTATTTTTCCTCAAATCTGTGCTTTACAGCGAGTGAGGAGAGATAATGTTCGTTTTGGCTTTCCTGGAATGTGAAGTTCACAGGCCGGCTTAGATTAAAACTGATTTTTGCTCAGATTAGAGGAAGCTTTGCTCTTTCTTCTTTTTATCTGCTCTTTAATGTTCAGAGTTCAGCCACTTCTACGAGCGACAACGAGCCAACATTTCACTTTTACACAAAAACAACACTGTTTGATCAAACCGCCAAATTGTTTCATGTGAACAAAAACGTCATGAGTAAATTACAGAGTGGAAATAGGCCGTGCTGGTTGTAAACTCTTCACACGTTCAGTGAAACTGATAGGATCTGATTTTATTATAGAAAATAAAAACGTTGCTTTGTGTGCAAAACAAAATGTCTAATAATTTTATTAACAGTTTCACAAAATTACTGTGAAGAAAGAGAAGAGAGTCTCAGCTCAGTTTGACGTTCTTCATCCATCCATCCATCCATCCATCCATCCATCCATCCATCCATCCATCCATCCATCCATCCAACAAATTGTTCATCCATCTGCATCCAGATAGCCTTCTTGCAGCCAGTCAGGCTTTTAACTGTATGAGAGGTTTATTCAAACAATACCAATGTATAATATTATCTATTAATAACTACTTTCTTTAAGACACACAGGGAAAAACATTATCTTGTTTTCGGCAGCAGAAACAAATTGTTGATTAAATAAGAAGAGCTTTCTTTTTGCCTTAAAATTTCAGAAGAGAGGAAATTGGTTGAAACGACAGTCATGAATGAAAGACTCTGTCAGTTTGACCACAAGTAAAAAAATTGTCTGTTGAACTGCCTGTTTGCCACAGATCTTAAAAACGTTTCACTGTTCCTTCATCCCCCCCCCCCAAAAAACAAAAAACTACTTCAGGACCCCAAGAAATTAGCATTAAACATTCCAACGTACACTGAAGGAATAATGATACAAAGAAAGAGATTACGTTAAGCAGAGCAGCAGAGGTTTTGTTATCTCTCCAACATTTGGAAGTAATTTCCCAAAAGGTCTGAGAATAACTTCCACATCTCCAAGACAAATAGTAAAGTGTTGCTTTGCGTGATTGGCTCCTCAACTCATTTGTAAACCTCAAGGCCTTCATCGAGGACCTCCTGCCTCGGGGGATGATTTGATGTGAGACAAACACAGTCTCTGACGGAGACGCTCGCTGAATCCAGTTTTTCAGAGCAATCAGAGCTGACGTGGGGCTGGATGGTTTCCAGTGGGAAAGAAACAGAAGAAGGCAGAATCAGATGATTTAATTATAAGTAAAAATTCAAATATTCCTTTAAAAACCCACCAGACGCTTGGTGTTTTTATAGGACGTGACCTCCAATAAGCATCCTGTTTCATCCAGTCTCCTTTTTATTAACTTTTCCATCAGATGAAATATTAAGCCGGTGAAGTTTTACTGTCTCATCATCTTTTTATTTGTTATTCTGCAGTTTTCGTTTATTTTAAGAGATTTGCCCAAACATTGAGGACTCTGAGAAGTCATGATCTACAACTTGTAACTTTCAGTCACGTGGGTCGAGATGACGTCATTCTTAAGACTTCTCTTCAGCAAATGTTGAGTCAAATTTTAAACTGACTGGACAGAATGAGGAGGCAGACTGATACAGGTGGCCAACATTCACCTCGTAACTCAAGAGGTGATTATTTGACTAGTGTAGAAACTGACATTTTCCCTCAGATACATGAATAAACGGGTGGTTTGTTGATTTCTGAAGTAATGTTCTGTCAGATAGTTATCAACAGTCAGCACCTCATCAGTCATGTAGATCAGAGTTTAGAGAAAAAAGCAGAAGTCTTCATGCAGGCTGATAACATGTAAAAATACATATATTTGTGGTGTACCAATATGAAGTACTCGGACTCATGCAAAACGCCCTGATACCCAGAATCGATACCGGGATACTGCACCAATATGCCAGTGAATGTGTTGCAGTTTAAATTTCAAGTTTGTCAGTTCTGTGTTTAAGAAATATATATAAGTTGAAAGAAAATCTTATCATTTGTTTTAAAAATTTGCAACAGTTGTTGTATTTGATTAAAAACAGTCAGAGGGGCATAAGAAAGGTGAGCTAAAATAAAGTGAAAATCACATATTTTTACATGGAAAATTATTAAATTAGCATGTGACATACAGTACGTAAAATAAGTTTTGCATGTGAATTAAAAAAAACTCGAATGTGAAATTTACAAGTCATTTCTCTGTAAAAAAAAATATGTTTTTGTGATTTTATTTTTATATGTTGTCATAATGGTCTTGGTCCCCAAACTTAACTTGGGGGTTGCAGTTGTTTTAAAACAAATCATATTTCAAATATCCACTCCTACTAAAAGTCTCCTAATGTTATCTTAAAATGTTATTAATGCTTAGAGACAATCTGTTTTTTTCTATTTGCATAATATCTCATGGACCATTGGATGGATTGCAATGAAATTTCAGAAAGTAAACATAGTGAGTACATGTAAATATGATTAACTTTTGGAGTTAATCCAATCCAAGATGGCTGCCCCAGTGAATTGACGATAATCGGCAGAAAAATGGCCACACCTCAGCCAGTTTTACAGCTATTGAGGTGGAATTTTGTGTGGTAGCAGCTGAGAGTCATCCACAACACAGACTGTGAGCGTGACATGCATGAGACTGCACAAAAATATGTTTTAAATCCTTTAAAGAAAGCTAAACTTTCAAATGATAATGTAGTTGTTTTAATACAAAAAACATCTGCTTTGGTTTTAGCCTCAATCAGAATTAAATAATTTTTCTACAAACTGAGATTCAATGTGCTATCTGCAACAGGTAAGATACTGATAGCTTATGACATTCCAACAGAAGCCCACTTTAGCAGATCTTTTTAAGTTATAAAAGGTTTTTCCACTTGGTATCATTACATTTGTCCTCTCTACAGTCAACAAAGGAAACCCATCCCTCCTGTGTAAAGTGCACTGGGTGTGTGTGGGGGGTGTTCACCACCGAGGCCCCGGTCTTCTGCCCTGTCATTGGTCACGACCAACCCTGGACCAGTTTAAAACCAGACACCGCTTTCTTCACAGTTTTTCCACACAGCTCATCCCCTGAACACAGGCAGACGAACAGGGAAGGGTCCGAGTCGGTCTGAGGATGCCTGCGTACGCCACCAACATGAGGCTGAAGTTCCCCATCCTGGTCTTGATCCTGGAGGTTGTCACCATCATCTCGTACGCGCTGTTCGCCGTCTACGATGATGGGAAAGGTCACCACGACACGCACAGTCAAAATAAAACTGAAGAGGAGAAGCCTTTGGAGCTGTATCCCAGTAAGTCTGCACGCTGATGGACGCCTCGGTGTTCGGCTGCTAAACTACATCTGGAAGGTGAAAGATTGATGTCTTGCATGCTTTCATTTAGCTAAACGAATCCTAAAATCTGAGAAAACACCAGGAACACGTTGTGCTGTCGTCTCCTGACTTGTGCATCTGTTTGGAGCAGATTTACAGATGTGCTTACCTGTCTCTAAAAGCCCCACATGAAGCTGAAGAATAAAAAGAAGTCTGCAGGGAAAGTATCATGTCCAGCTGACAAACAGCTGGAGGAGAATATTCAGCTTTTGTTGCATCTTAAACGTCTAAGCAGTTGTGTTTTTTTTTTTTTTTACAGTTAAACTCCTCTCTGCTTCTGCAACACTTATCTGCATGAAGACAGTTGCAGCTGCACACTGCTGCTTTACTGTAGAATTGACTGCCAATGATTGGGCGGGGCAGGCGTGGTTCACAAAGATTAGTTCAACCTCAAAGACAAGACATTTATTTCACTTCAGATAGGACAATTCTGTTGCATGAAACTGTCATGCAACAAACAGACTTTCCTTTGCACGACTTGTTATTTTCCTATGTAGGCATTTTTTTACTCTGCCCTTCTTGAAAAGAAACTTAAAAATTAAGAAGGCTTCTCCACAGGTGCAAAATGCTGAAACATTTGTAATTATTGTTGATTGGATGAAGCTACGTTAAAAAAAGCAGCTGTGAGACGAGAAAAATGTTGCTGTTTTATGGTTGTTTAAAATGCATATTGTTTTAAAGATGCCAATAAGAAGCATAAACAAGATCAAAAGACATGTTTAAGCTGCTGCCAGTGGCTCATCGTGGCCACCATGGCAACTACATATCCGTGTCTCTCACTCCCTGACTGCAAACAAGGCAGAGGGAAGCGGACTGAAAAATGAGCCTCAAACTGTTGCTGTGCAGAAACAGTCAGTCGGCTCTTAAAGGTTCTTGAACCATGCACTGCAGATGATGCTGATGCTCATGTTAAATTTTATGTTTCTGCAATATTTCATGTAATAATTTTAAAAAAGACCATTTGCTTCTAATTTTGAGAACAATATTTTGAGTTTAAATGTAGCTGAAGTCGGTGGCACCTTCGATAATGGATCGTTAGTGGTGGGCACTAATAACCAGTGGTGGGCACTGGTTATTTTGCTGAACTAAAAGACACAGGTGTGTTATTTCCTCTTGGTCTGTGATAATTGTAAATAAATGAAGAACGTTCTGATTTTTCAGCCTCATCTTCTTGCTTTAACTCACCAAACAACTGCTTTCCATCGTTTATCCCAGACTATCATTCTCTACGACCCGTGACTGCAAGAGTGAGTTTTTCAAAGTAAAAGTCAAGAAGTTTTCTCAGCTTCATCTGGCTTTTAGCCCGATCTGATATCTGAACGTTAATGGGCCGCTGCTGCACATGTTGTGCTGAGCGCTGATAACGCTGATCAAAAGAGAAGATGAGGAGATACGAAGAATGCTTTTGTCTTTTTTTTTTCAGTAGCCGCCATTAAAAACTTATAAATAATAGAAGGGTTTGTGTTTTCTCCTCACAAAAAGCAGAAGCAACACATTTTTTGTGTGTGTGTGAATGCTGTTCATGAATATAAGTTAACACAAAAATCTTTTTATAATCGATTTGCATTTTGCACACGTGCTAATACTTACTGCTGATCGGATAAATGTGACTCCTGGATGGTCCTCAAAGCTAACCATTTACCGTGATTTACGTAAACACAGAAACGCCTAATTTCTCTAAACAAGTGACTCCATTTTGTCTGACAACCTCTCAGTCCCACAACGTCAACAATTAAGATGTAGCAAGTTATTTAAAGCGACTTGAATGGGTTGGAAGCAGTCCCAGGTCATGGTTTGTAACCGGAAGCATCTTATCAGGGTCTAAGCAGAAGACATGCATCAATACCACAAAAGTTGTTATCGTGAAAACCTTGACAACTTCTGGGGACAACATGCAACAGTTCATCAAGAAGCGAGGAAATGAGTTATTGTTTCTCAGCCCACATGGATCCACATGATGCATTTCCCACATGAGAAGCTCATCATGTGGAGCTTCAAGGTTTTCAGGAAACAGGAGCCTGACTTCCTGTGATGACCTGAACTTTACCCTTCGAGGTGTTGCGTTCTTACTGTCGATGCAACAGGTGCAAGGCTGTTTTGAGATGAAAGAAACAGCTCACATGATCTGTGTGCTCAAAGCTGCAAATGTGTCTCAGCTGCTGCCAAACCAAGTTTGTCTCAAGTAAAAATGACTCGTAGCGGGTTTTTGTTTGATGGTTATCTGTGGCAGCCATCTTGACAAATCAAACTGAATTTTGTTTGACCTGATTCGATTAGACGAGCTGGTTTAGCAGAAGCAGCAGAAGTGATCTCTTCTCTCGTGTCTCCAGTGTTTCAGGATGTCCACGTGATGATCTTCATCGGCTTCGGGTTCCTCATGACGTTCCTGAAGAAATACGGGTTTAGCAGCGTCGGCGTCAACCTGCTGCTGGCGGCCTTCGGCCTCCAGTGGGGTCTCCTCATGCAGGGCCTGTGGCACCTGGAGGGTGGCAAGATTAAAGTCAGCATCTTCAAGTACGTTTCTGAAAGGATCTTCTTTTAGCCAGAAAACAAAATAAACAACAGTAGCTAAACAATAGCTAAACAATAGCTAAATTAAGCAAAACAGTTGTAAAATGTATCAAACAGATTCAAATAATTACAAAACAATAGCTAAAAGTAGCAAACCTGGTGCAATTAATTGCTAATTAATTGATTGCTTCTTCCTCCCACAGAATGATCAACGCAGACTTTAGCACAGCCACGGTCCTGATTTCCTTCGGTGCAGTTCTGGGTAAAACCAGCCCGGTCCAGCTCCTCATCATGACCCTGCTGGAGATCACCATCTTCTCCGTCAACGAGCACCTGGTGGCAAAAATTATATGTGTAGGTCTATAAACAACACAAACACATTTTTATTGACTTGACCCTGATTCATCAGAACAGGATCACATGAAACAATGAGAAATTTATTTATTTATTTATTTACTAACTTATTTATTTATTTTATTGTTTATTTATTTGTTTATTTATTTTTACAGGCTAATGATGTTGGAGCTTCAATGGTTATCCATGCTTTTGGAGCTTACTTCGGCTTGGCTGTGGCTCGGGTTCTTTACCGACCTAATTTAAGAGACGGACACGAGAACGACGGATCTGTTTACCACTCTGATATGTTTGCCATGATTGGTGAGAGACCATTCCACTCTGCCACATTCTGCTAACTGGGTGCACGGTTCTTTAACAGACTGGGTCATTTTATGTTTTTAATACTGCGATGTCGATATGACTTGCGATAAATGAAAAGATACTTAGAAATGCAGTGCTGATGTCTTTCTGCTCTGGGTTCAGAGCAGAAAAACCATCTGACATCATTTCAATCCCAACATGACAGAGTGGTTATAATTTGATTTGGTATCTCCGGTTCATTTTGTTTATCACACCGATGCTGACAAAACACGGAAATGCAAACATTGAAGCCAACCATTCATTAAAATTTATGCATTTTTTGTAATATTGTACAGGCTGTTATTGAGATGACGATAAATTTGTGATATATTTGCAGCCCTATTCTCCAGTATCTATGTTTCCCAGTACTTATGTTTCCCAGTACATATGTTTCCCAGTACATATGTTTCCCAGTACATATGTTTCCCAGTACTTATGTTTCCCAGTACATATGTTTCCCAGTACTTATGTTTCCCAGTACATATGTTTCCCAGTACTTATGTTTTCCAGTACTTATGTTCCCCAGTACTTATATTTCCCAGTACATATGTTTCCCAGTACATATGTTCCCCAGTACTTATGTTTCCCAGTGCTTACCAGTACGTATGTTGCCCAGTACTTATGTTCCCCAGTACTTACCAGTACGTATGTTGCCCAGTACTTATGTTCCCCAGTACTTATGTTGCCCAGTACTTATGTTCCCCAGTACTTATGTTTCCCAGTGCTTACCAGTACGTATGTTGCCCAGTACTTATGTTCCCCAGTGCTTACCAGTACGTATGTTGCCCAGTACTTATGTTCCCCAGTGCTTACCAGTACGTATGTTGCCCAGTACTTATGTTCCCCAGTACTTACCAGTACTTATGTCGCCCAGTACTTATGTTCCCCAGTACTTACCAGTACTTATGTTGCCCAGTATGTTCCCCAGTACTTACCACTACTTACGTTGCCCAGTACTTATGTTCCCCAGTACTTACCAGTACTTATGTTCCACAGTACTTATGTTCCCCAGTACTTACCGCTACTTATGTTGCCCAGTAATTGTTTCCCAGTACTTATGTTCCCCAGTACTTATGTTCCCCAGTACTTACCAGTACTTATGTTCCACAGTAATTGTTTCCCAGTACTTATGTTCCCCAGTACTTATGTTCCCCAGTACTTACCGCTACTTATGTTGCCCAGTAATTGTTTCCCAGTACTTATGTTCCCCAGTACTTGTGTTTCTCAGTACTTGTGTTTCTCAGTACTTGTGTTCCCCAGTACTTATGTTTCTCAGTATTTTTCCTGGTACCCATGTTCACTGGTGTTCTTCAGACAGTGTGTTAGGAATGACTCTCAGCTCAACATATTTTAGCTCAGCCTCTTTTTAAGTGACGGACTTCTGGTCATCTTTGTGTTTGCTAACTTCAAAGCACCATGGCGGCCATTTTGGATCTTGTTGGTTCTAAAAGTGAATCAGTTTTTTTGTGCAAAGATTCGTTTGTTGGCGTAGAGTAAAAATGGCTCAATCTATTCTTCTGCAGGGACTGTCTTCCTGTGGATGTTCTGGCCCAGTTTCAACTCGGCCATTGCTGGTCCGGGTCTCCCTCAGCTCATGGCGGTGATCAACACCTACCTCTCCCTGGCTGCCTGCGTGCTCTCAGCCTACGCCATCTCCAGCCTGGTGGAGCACAAAGGAAAGCTGGACATGGTCAGGCTCCTCCCCCTCTAACTGTCACAATCTAAACCTGGCTGTAACACTTTGAACTCAAGTGTTTGCTCAATAACTTGGTGACATGTGTTGATCTTCAGGTGCACATTCAGAACGCCACTTTGGCCGGAGGAGTCGCCGTGGGAACTTGCGCTGACATGAGCATCGATCCGTTTGGCGCCATGCTGATTGGATTTGTTGCTGGCATCATCTCAACCCTGGGCTTCAAATATCTCTCTGTGAGTTAACAAAAAAACACGAGGCATTTTGCTAACACTGCAGACAAATAAACACAATGGATGAACAATATGGTGGTTTTTTTGTTTGCCTCCTTTCTAGCCTGTGTTGGCCTCCAAACTGGGTATCCAGGATACCTGCGGAGTCCACAACCTGCACGGCATGCCTGGCGTGCTCGGAGGCCTGGCTGGTATCATCGCTGTGGCTTTGGGGAAAGCAAAAGGGTAATTCTTACATAAAATAATACCTGCTCATATATAACACGTGTCGTGTTGTTGGTTAACTCTTGGTTCAAATCTCAGCTCTGCAGCCATGCAAGCTGCTGCCTTGGCTTCATCCATCGGCTTTGCTTTGATCGGAGGATTTGTTACAGGTGAGTGACTGTGAAATACCTACACACACACACACACACACACACACACACACACACACACACACACACACACA